CAGTTTTCACAGGTTCCACTAATCGGATCGGCTTGTGCTTTTGCACAGTTTACCTACATGCTGATAGGGTGTTATGACCAAAATTTTAGCTCAGGATCTTTGATGGAAGTCGCTCTACGAATTTCGTGACAGACAGACGTACACACAGACAGACAGACAAACAGACGTAAACACCCTTAGCCCGTTATTATTAAGTCATAGATAGTTAATTGTACGAGGTCTATGTCTTCTGGTCTTATCCGTATAGTTTTGTGATGGAGGTCAAGAGAGACCAATAAACCGTTTTCGCAATGCGTGGACAAAGTCCGATCCTAGTGAAGGTGGGACTGGACAATCCTTGTCTGCCGCTACATAGAAACAATGAGAGATAACATGTGTTCCTCTTTGGACTGGCAGACAAACGGTACCTGACAACTGTATTATTGTACCATTTGCAGTTGTCTCTGTTCTTGATGCTCCCGTGGGCGATTTCATACCTCCAATCAGTGATAACGTTGATGCCATCATGTACGATATAGTTGCTCCACTGTCCAATAACGCTGTGACCGAGTTAGTGCCAATTTTGACCTTCAAGTATGGCAAATGTTGTACTTCCGTTTGTATGGCATAGATATGTGGTACGAAGAGAGGTTCTTCTTCCCTTGGTGGCAAATCCACCATTACTAAATTGACTTTATGTTTCTGCTTCCTAGTCTTCCGTTTCGGGGTGAAGTTCTTGGCGATATCGAACAAAGCTGACGCGGCAGTCGAAGTCGCGCGTCTAAGGAAATAGAGCTTCACGTAAATAACGCAAGCTCCGACACAAAGTAAAAGAATGGTGGCGGGTATTGCAATCCAAAGTATGGTGTAAATAACTGACCACTTGATATCTTCCACGCCATCCGAAAGCTTCTGTGTTGTTGACTCATAAAGGGATAATAGAGACTGACCCAGGGACATGGTGGTATTCCGTATCCGTGAGAATGTCTCTTCAATTATTCCTCTTTTCTGGAGTCGCAAGACCACATTTGCTTGCTCCTGTCTGATTGCCTCCATGTGTGGAATCAATGATAAGGCGTGATTGTCAAACAGGCGGTGGAATGTAGGTGGAGTGTCGAAAAGAAAAGGCTTCATTCTATCGTTAATAACGGCATTGGGCAGTATAAGCTTCTGTGTCGAATTAAATCCTTTGGTGATAAGTAGGGGCAGGGAACGGTGGCAGATGTTTGTATCAAATCCTGTGTTCCCGGTATTTCAAACCAAAGATCCTGGTCAGTCTGACGGGTGTCAATATGTAACATGTTCCACTAACCGTATGATTATTATAGACGAAGGTTGGTGTAACTCGGCGACATTTCGTAATTAATAAGTTGTCCGCAGTCCGTACGGCCGTGATGTCAGTTCTTCCCAACAGAATTCTGGCGGCCCATGTAGGGTCTACCAAGCTTAGGGTACGTATCCGTTGTGCTCCGAGGTATTGTCGGACACAGATATTATTAAGCTGACGTCGCACCGCAAAATTTTGAGGGGAAATATTTTCCGTATCAGGTGGTTGTGTAGGCACAGAAAATATTGAAGATGTTGTAGAGAAGTTTGCAGCTTCTACTGTTGTTGAAGCATTTTCCTCTTCCTCAGCCATTGTTGGTATGATCGTCGTTGAGGCAGGTATAATTGATGTCAATACCGAATCCAGTACTGATACCGTTGATAGTATAGAATCCACTACTGGTACCGTCCAATTCCATAGAGACAAATCTCGTTGTTCGCGTCAAAATTTCCTCCCATGATGGAATAGAGGCTGGTGTTTCGGTCTCTATTACGGGTTGTAGGGTGGGTAGTGGGGTATGGTAATACAAATGATAGACTTCTGGCGTTGTGGATGGGGAAATGGAAGAGGTAGTACTCGTTGGTATCGTCGACATTCTCTCCGAAGTACTTGATGGTTGGGTATGGTGTTTCATTAGAAGTGTTGTCTCCGGCGATTGAGGTGACGATACTGCTTTACTAGTTTTGGTTGTAGCGGTAGAAAAGAAGGTCCCTTTTGTAAAGGGTGTTTTGATTGTACTGGTAGACATTGATGGTAGAGTTGTCGTCGTCGTCATAGCATTTCGAACAGGTGATATCCTTGTTATCGGTTTGAATGTCCTCATAGGAATTCCGGACGTCATCGTTGTTCGTATTGTTGTTGTTGTCGTAGAGGTTGTTGTTCTTCGTGAAGTCGTCGTTGTCCCTAGAGTTGTTATTTGTGGGGCTGATGTTGTTTGTACCGCTGATGAAATTCGTGACGTTGTGGTCAGGGGAACTGTTCGGGGTGATGATGTTGTCATGGTCGGACTGCCTAGCGTGCTTGGTGGAGTTATCGGGGCCGGAGAAGTTGTTGCCAGCGCTGCTAAGGTGACGTTGAAATAGGGGATTTTAGACTTCCATTCTGAGTCTAACGATCCTGGCATGTTGTATTCGATTCTTCCAAACTCCTTCTCAAGATAATCGTCGAATATCGGAGAAATACCCAGTTCTAGGTCTCGTCGGATGTTGATCACGGCATAATTTGGAGGTGTTACCTTCGCGGATTCCGCAAATAAATTTAATTGCTTCATGCGATATTCGCCGTACCGTATCGTACGTAGGACAATGTGCCTTGGATCATCCATTTTATAGTACCGGGTCGCCCGAGTAAGATCGTTATTAGTGATATTCCATTGTTTTAGCTCGTAGAGGATCTTGTTCCATGTTATCGGGCGCGTATTGAAAACTGGAATTCTTCTGAGATGTCTAACACCGAACAATCGCTTGGTCAGAAATACAGGTTCCATCGGCACAATTTCAAACGGAAAGGTGTTATCATTTTTATCCGTAAGATGTCGTATAGCACGCTTTGTTCTTCTTCCTTGATGGGCCATGCGCAATACATAATCTTGGATGGTAAGGTCTTGTGGGACTTGGGGAAAAGTGATGATATGGTTCGATGTCGTAAGGTAACTGGTGCCCAACTGACAATATCTGGTGAGTTGTTCGTGCAGAAGGTAATCCTCAGAAAACTGGAAGACGAGGTCAGGGTGGGGAAGGACTATGTAGTTTAGGGTAACGAATGCTTCGAAGTTCCAACATGTTTGAATCTGCAGGAAGGTGTGACTTCAGTTGGTTTCCATATGATCGTGTATTCCTGTGTGAGACAGTATCCTTGACTGTACGAGCAGTTCTCGGTGTCGCTCAATGGACTCATGATGTGCTGTCCGCCGAAAGTGGCGACTTGTCCTTCCTCTACAGTGTATACACTGCGAAGATAGTTCCTGGTCCCCCATAGTGGTATCGCAATGCCATCTTCCTCAATTTCATTAGTGGTCCATAATCCGTCCGACTGCAGAATCAATTCATGATCATGTATTTTTCTTGATGTCCTGGCCGTTGCGCATAGTTCTTGAGGGATCGACAACTGGCGACGTCGCAATATGGTGGTGGTAGTACGAATACGGAGAAAACTGCTTATAGATACCTCAATGGCATCTCTGTAGCAATTAGTTGCATTACTCCAAAATGGATTGGAAATATCTGCAAAAGTTGCATCGTAGTTCGTAGCATGGGTGCGTTTGTCGGGGTTGTACAATCGAATGATTCTGGAAGTGAAAAGATGTTCGAATATGGGTTTGTGCCACATATCTGGTATTTCGCAATTGTGAATCCACTGCACAGTATCAGAGTCATGATGCACAGTAAGTGAATCTTTGGAGAATTGATCCTTTCTCTTGCGAAGGTGCTGGGAGGTGCGGGAGCTGGAGCATCACTTATCGGAAGGGGTCTATATTGTGCATATGATGGTGCTCCATAGCCATAGGGTCTTCTTCCTTGTACTGGTGGAAATCTATTGTTGTACATTCTGCGATTGTAGAACGGGAGTGCACGTTGACGGAAGGGTGGGTATCGGGGATAATATCCTCGCGGGCCGAAGAAGGGAGGATTCTGGATAGGTCGCAGTGTCCTCTGTATCTGCCTGAACTTATTTCTATCCTGATCACTGGTGTGTTTCTGTCGTGGTGTTGCTTTCATCTGACTCAACTGCTGCTCAAGCCGATTGATTTTCCCATCCATAAGAAGAGCATTGACGGCTTGAAGGGCGTCTCTGTCTTCTTTCCTTTCCTGTTCCAGGATGCGAGATTCCTTTTCTGCACTGCATACTATCTCATCGAATTCGTCCGTGTCAGGTAGTCTTCTAACCGCTTTCTTTATCTCGGGATTGAGGCCCTTGATAAAGAAATCAATGGCCATCTGCTTAATGAGTGGTTGTCCCTGTCCCTGGAAGGCGATCTTCGTTTTGTGGTAAATTTTCTTGGCGAATTCTCCCACGGTGTCCTTTCCTTGCGTCATATTATGTAGCTCATCTCGGATATTGCTGAGAGGAGAGGTATTCTTCATTTGCTTGGCTAGCTCCGTTGCCAAATCCTTCCAAGGTATCTTCTCTCGATTCGGGATCTGTTGGTACTTCAGTTTCGCTCCACCTGTCAGGTAGAGTGGTAGTAATTTCTGCGAAATCAGATTCGGGATAGCGAGCTCATGCGTCACTTCCGAGTATTCACTCAAGAATTCCTCAAGAGTTTTTTCCCAGAGCATGAGAACTTGTCCAATCTGTTTCCCAGTATCTTGCAGGCCTTGTATAACTGTTCTTGAAGCTCCTTGTCCGAGATAAAAGGTGTTGCGCTTCTTTCTTGTGACGTAGTTGGTTTACTTTCTTCTTCTTCCTCTGGCATGCTTGATCTTCTTTCCTTTGACATAGTCGGCTTCCTTCGGTTCGCTTTGAAAATTGCTTCTCTTCGTTGCTTCCTGCGTTGGTGTCGCAATAATCGCGCTGTGGTTGATGACGACGCATTGGACGCTGTTGGTTCTGCAAATAAAGGTTAACGGGAAAACAAGGTGAAAAATAAAATACTGAAATGAGGTTATTTTATTCTAATCCAAAGAAGAGCTTCAAATGTACTAGCATTTTAGCAAAAAAAGATGCGGTTGTAATTTCATTTCCTACTTTATAGATGATGCCAAATGGTAGGGCTAATGGAGTGCCCGAGGCACAAGGCGATCGAGATGATAGGGTGGCGTTGGAAGTGCCGAATAATGAAGGTAGTAAAGGAGTGCTTATGAAACAAAATAATCAAGATGATGAATGAATGTTTAAAGCGGCGCCCAATGGACAAAATGATGGAGATAGGATATTTGGGGCGGCAAATGAAGCAGGAGATGGTGAAAATGGAGAGCTCGGGATGCCGAATCTTGGACTGCCAATGGTTACCATCATGAGGATGATGAAGATGAAGTGCCGGAGGATCCGGATAATTGACAAGAAGGTTCCTCATCAGCGAGCGAAGTATGGAGAGTAGACGGTCACGATTCACCGGAGGGTCCGCATGATCCGGTCCTAGGGTTAAGCGCCCGTCCCCTAACCCGTAGGGAGGACATGCTGCTCTACCTTCGCTTGAATACGCTCGAACGGGCGTTAGAGGCGGAAGATGAAGGCGAATTTGATGAAGATGAAGAGGTGGCACCTCTGCTGGGGCCGAACTCTGATTTTCGCATGTCCGCCCTCGACTAGGGTGGGTGGTATGTGGCGTGAACGGCCACAGAACCTGCAACTGTGAGGTCCACTTGGAGTTCCGCGATCGAGTGCGGATCGTCTTCGCCTATCGCCTATGTGGGCGATGCGCCGAATTCCATGATAGGCGTATGTGTATTAACCATCTTCACTGTACGCGCTGTAGGCGAGAGGACAGCCACCCAACATTCCTATGCTGGAGGCCGATCCCGAACGAGTGATCTCATTTGAATATTATTTATTATTATTTTGTGTACACAGTAAATTAATAATTCATGATGTTACTACAAATTGAAAAGTATACAATACTATGTGAAGATAGTAATACGACACCAGACAAGTTAGTACAATTTCGCAGATGGACGTGGTTCCCAAACGTCGGAATCCTTGTGCTGCTCCTTGGAGTCCTCGCGTAGACGGTTAAACGGATGAAGGATGGCTTTGGGAAGTTGGCCAAAAATCAACCAGACTTGCTCAATATGGAGAACGAGTGGGGTGGAAGAGTTAGGTGAAAAATCAAGCAGAGGAACATTCGGAGCGCTCAGTGAGTAACCATGTCTATAGTGAAGATGTTTTTGCAGATTATGAAAAGAGCTTCTGGGACATGTGTTACATGGGAAACGATATTCTTTCGCTGATTTTGTGAAGGAAGAGTAGTTCGGAATGAACTGTCCGCAGCTGCCATTGAAGGCTGCCAGGGATAGAGCGAATAGACGATTACAGTGGCGTGTGATGTTTCGTGTTCTTATATACTTCAATGGACAGTTGCATTCTTCCTCCAAAAGCGTAGCTAAACGGTAGGTGGAAATAAACGGCGAAGAGCATGCATTTCCGGAGTTGGTACGGCCATGACTTTTTCTTGCTCCTTTTTCCATTCTTCTAATAGATCTTCAGGAATTATCGGAGTTTCGCCTCTAATAGTACTGAGAATATCGCGCAGATGTTCAAAGCGTTCGTCAGCAATGCTCAAGTTTCTGAGATTTCGACTTCATTTATTAACGCTGTAAGTTCAAAGCCGGAACCTCCAAGTGAGGTTCGGCATAGTTCCGCAGAGCAGCCGACAAGAAAACAAAAACTTGATGTTTCAATATGCGCCGGCCTTGTTTATGCTTTCGTAAGTTGTGCGACCACTCATCCGCTAATACCTGCGCATGACGTTTTTGGCCTACGTTGCGTGCGCATGAGCTGTCTGTCATGGCTATCCAAAATAAGCCGCCGGATTTTTTTTGTTATTCACTGCATATTCTATTTCATTCATATCCCAACATCGAATATGACTGGAGAGAAGTTGCCATATTCTGTCTATTTCTTATTATGCTACGGTATTCAAAGCTGCTGGAGAATTGGTGGAATATTCTATTCCTTCCCATATTCCTAATATTCCTACCTCTGTTTCAAAAGCTGACTGAGTCCTATCTGTACAACCCACCGAACATTCCTCTGATACGCTTAGGTTTTGGCCACACGTTACCCGTGTTACCCGTGTCATCGGTGTTAAGACTATTTTGCTAACCTAAAGGGAAGGCTTTCCAAAATTCAAACATTTTCTTACAAAATCATATAGCCATGATTTTGTTCTCTACTTTACAGATGATGCCTCTTAACGGAGTTGTGGAAGAAGTGCCCGAAGAACCTAACGCTCGTGATGAGGGAGGCGCGCGACAGGGTCATTCGAAGGCCCCCCGACCCGTACTTTGGTTAGGGCACGGCCTCTATCCAGTAGGGAAAAGTGGCTACCCTTCATTCAATTGGGTGAGGTCGAGCGGGAGTCGGAGCGTGCGGATGACGATATAAACGAAGATGAGAAAGTCATGCCCCTACTCGGGCCGGACACCGATTTTCCCCACATCTACCCCCGACTAGGGTGTGTACATACTACACCCTAGTCGGGGGTAGATGGTGTGTGTGGGGTAACGAACACCGCACCTCTGCCTGTGAGGTGCAACTAGATTTTCGCACCCGAGTGAAAATCGTGTTTGCATATCGTCTCTGCGGGCGTTATCGTCTCTACGGGCGATGTGCTGAACTTCACGACGGCCACGTTTGTACTACCCGCGTATATTGTACACATTGTGAACGGGGGATAACCATCCGACTTTCTTGTATAAAAGAAGGACTCGGAATCGAACTGAAGATGAAGACAACCTTCTATAAATATTATTTCATTTTATCAATACATGATAAATGCGATTAGTAATCCATGGTGTTTCTACAAATCCCAAATAATGCTATATGCGAAGGCAGTGATGCAACGCAGGGAAGCGCATTAGTATGATTTTTCAGATGAACGTTATTCCCAGAAATCAGAGCCCTTGTGCTGTTCCTTAGGGTCCTCACGTGGATTGAATGGATGAAGAATAGCTTTAGGCAGTTGACCAAAAATCAACCAAACTTGCTCAATATGAAGAAGGAGTGGGGTGGAGGAATCAGGGAAAAAATCAAGTAGAGGAACATTCGGAGCATCAAGTGAATAACCATGTCTAATATATAAAGAATCGTAAGCGCAATTCAAAAATGTGCAAATAGCGGGAAACGCGTGGCGGCTCCCGCAGCGAACGCGTGCAATAACACCTTTAGGAAGATGTGATGTGAAAGTGAATGTGTCGTTAGACATGCACCAAAATCTTCTATTTTGCACGTTCTTTTCTTCTTTAGTGAGTTTCCGTCTTTCTTCTTTTCATTTTGATTGTTCTTACACATGTCACTTTTTCTGATCTCGCATTTTTTACATATCTACATTCGTTCCCTAGTTACATTTTGTTCTCTCTAAAGATCATCACATGCTCTTTCGAAGAGTTTTGGAATGCACAGAATATTCGTTTTGTATGAATTTTGACTTTGAATTTTTCTTCAGCCCTTTTCATGTAGTTTTCGAAAAGAAGGGTAATATGATGCTAGAGCTTGCTGTATAGTAGCCTCCCAGCTATAAGCTAAGCGGAGTATCTCACATATCTCAGAATGTTGCTATGTCTCCGATTCAGGGCGTTGCTTTGCTAACTCTTTCATTACTAGAAACAGCCATGTCACTCTTTGCGTCCATATTACAGAATATATCTGAACCGCTCAGAAGAAGGATGTTCCCTTTTTTGATGATCTCTCCATCAAAGGGTAAAGTCCGTGCCTGCAACGTGGCTGCCGAGCACGGGCGCTATGATGAGTAATTCGCGCGAATGCCAACGTTAGCTCGCAAGAGAATCGCTCGCATGCGTTCAGCCGAAGCGATTCCATGCAGTCAACTATAATTCAGGAACCTGCTGCGAAACTCCCATAGAGAGCTGTGGACACCTCAATTTGTGTAGAGAAGAGTCCTCGAGCTTAGCCCGCAAAGAATGCTGAGGTGGTAGGAAGCGCTTCGGTCAGCTCAGAGAAAGACACAAGAGTATACACTATGGAATTTTGATTTTGCTTCTGGCTAATGCATCGTTCAGACCTCGCCGGTACTCGCCGATATCCGCCAAAGCCACCTGATCCCACCTGAACCACCCGAAACTTGCCAAACGAGGGAAGTGAAGGTGATAATTACTTGTGACCCATACGTACATTTCACAACGCGCGCACTATTATACATGAGTCTTGAAATGGCACTTTCCAGGCGCATCTTCTTCCCTAATTTTTCAGATTCCGACGGGTTTTCGGATGGGTACAGGCGGGTGTCGGTGCCCTTTGAAGATGTTTAAAGGCAGTGTCCGGGAAAATGTCGGTTTTGAGATTTTGTGCTTACCTGGGCCTATTCGCTGTGCTGAATCCGAAAATCCACACTGGAGAGCGCGAAAAAGGAGAAAACGGGCTCTAACGCAGGAGGGAAATCACAGGCGGGCGGGGCCTGTTCACACTGTGACGTCACTCTCCCAGCTTTTGGAGCGATCGTCGGTTTCGCCTTTAGGTCACGCATTCGCATTGGCCGGTGGCGATGTTAGAACGACTAACGGAAGCGAGAAGATCGCTCTCGACGCTGGAAAAGTGACGTCACGACCGCCTCGCCCATTTGCGATTTCCCTCCGTCGTCAAAACCCTTTTTCGTCGTTTTTTGGCTCTCCAGTGTTGATTTTCGGATGCAGCATAGCGAATAGGCTGAGGTAAGCTCTTACTCGGACACTGCCTTCAAAGCAAAAGTCGATTTTGAGAGCAAAAAGTCGATTTTGAGATTTTGTGCTTACCCGGGCCTATTCGCCACGCTGAATCCGAAAATTCACAGTGGAAAGCGCAAAAACGGCAAAAAAGGGCTCTAACACAGGAGAGAAATCGGAAATGGGCGGGGTCCTCCTCACTGTGAATTTCGCAGTCCCAGCTTCTGAAGCGATCTTCCCAATTCCTCTAGCGCCCTGAGATCTCCACCGGCCAGGTGCGAATGCATGATTTGAACTCGGAACCGAGAAGATCGCTCTGGAAGCTGAGAGCGTGAATTCACAGTGGGGAGGACCCCGCCCACCTGCTGATTTCCTTCACGTGTTAGAGCCGTTTTTCGCCGTTTTCGCCCTCTCCAATGTGCATTTTCGGATTCAGCGCAGCGAATAGGCCCGGGTAAGCAAGAAATCTCATAATAGAGTTTTTGCCCGGACACTGCCTTTAAGGAGTGGGCGCCGTTAGAGCTTAGGTGAGACAACAAAGTGGAAATTAGCACCCTCAAGAGAAAAATTCAAGGTAGACGACTTTGAAGCTTCGAAATGCAAAAAGGGGCATGGCGAGTAGAGGAGTGGGCACTTTGGCTACCAGCCCTGGGTGAGAGGAGAAGGAAGAGGACTATGCGTCGAAAAGGGAAGGTGTCGAAAAGGAGAGGTTCCGTTTGGACACCTGCAACGAAAAGACCTCATGTAAACGCGAAGTTGCGCGTAATGACTGGGAAATTCCGCGTAGAACCTCCTATCTCGGCAACGTATAATCTTCTATTTGGGAGAAGGAATTAGCATTGTTCGATGAGCTCTTATTCGAGATTTTCGGAGCGAATTTTCGAAGAAGGGTTGGGATCCGTCCGAAAAACCTCTGGAGAAAGAATCTTGGGGATTGAAAATGGGATCGCGATTGTGGGAAAGGGGGAAGAGAAAAGGAGGCAACATAAGAACTCAAAGCTCATATGTTAATGAGAAGGGAACCTTGGACACCCTGGCTAGAAAACCGTTTGAGAGAGGAAATTTGGGGCTTCAACATAGAATCCTGGAGGGGAAAGAGAAAAGGAGAAAGAGTGGTCACCTGACCAGAAAACCGTTTGCGAGAAAAGATGTTTGGGTTCACATGGGATAACGAGCGTGAGAGAGGAAGGAGAGAAGGATTGGAGACCCCGCAAACCAAAAGCTCATGCTCTAATTTTGGAGCAGGGAACCGTGGGCACCCTGGCCAAAAAACCCTTTAGAAGAGAATTTTAGGGCGTCATTATGGATTCTGAAGGAGAGAAAGAGAGTGTGTGCGCCGTGCAAATCAAAAGCTCAAACTTCAAGTTTTAGACAGAGAACATGGGCATCCTGGCCAGAAAACCGTTTGGGAAGAGGATTTTGGGCTTCAGTAGGGATCCTGAAGGGGAAGAGAGAAAAAGTTGGGCAATGTGCAAACCAAAACCTTATACTTCAAGTTTGGAGGGAAAACTTGGGCACCCTGGGCGGAAAACCGTTTGCGGGTAAGTTTTGGGGCTTCCACATGGTATCACGAATGTGAGAGATGGAGAGAGAAAGAGTGTGCAGTGTGCAAACCAAAAACTCATATTCAAAAAGTTTCGGAGGGAAGAAACGTGGACTCTTTAGCCAGACCTAGTCTTAAGTCTAGCCAGATCTGGGAGGGAAGATTCTAGGGCTTTCCAGGGAGAGAGAGAGAGTGGGCAGGCACCGTGCAAACCAATCCATACTTCAGATTCGGAGGGGACACTCTGGCTAGAAAGCCGTTTGGGAGGGAAAATTTGGGGCTTCAACAAGGGATCCTAAAGGGAAAGAAGAAGGGAGAGAGAAAGAGTGGGCACTGTGTAAACAAAAAAACCTACTTGGCAGATGGAAAAGAGAGCCTCGGTCACTCGAAGAACCTTGGGACCGAGGAAGATTGACGACCACAGGGCATTTACTGGGCATATGATTTTGGGTAGGGGGTGGGGAAGGAGCAACTTTGAGCACCCTCGCTATGAAAGAATTAGACTGGATAGTGGTGCTTCCACATGCACTGGCTACGCAGCTTTGGGCAGGGAGAAAATCCACGAAAGAATCTGGCTTTGACATGGTCCCCGGGATGTTAAAACAAAGAGGGGAAAAGTGGGACTTGACAAAGCACCTAGGCGCTGGGCATACTTCACGCGATTCCAATCGCCATGCAATCTGGCTGCCTGCCAGATGCCTTCATTAGGACACCTGCAGGCTACCACTGCATAGTTGTCAAACTTTTCCAAGTTGGTAGAATGCCCATTCTGTACTTTAAGAAAGCGCTTACGATGAGCTATAAACAGTTGGAGCACTGCCAGATCGCAATCGCACTGAAATCGCGAGCATCAGGTGTGTCCGAGGCCTTAGAAGGGACTCTTGGGAGGGGAAGGAGGAGCTTGGGGCGAGAAAAGGTGATAAAAGGATCACATGATTCTGATACTTTTGCGTGCATTGGCCACAGCAGCTTTACACATAGAAGAGGTGAAACAACGCTTTCATTTAGAAAAGGAGGAAACTTGGGTACTTTGGCCGGCCACGAGAGAGAATCTTTTGAGATGAGACTTTAGTAAGATAGAGAGCAAGAAAGGTTAGGGGTCTGACAGGCACCTACATTGTGAGGGTTTCTAGGAAAAAGGATACTTTTGAGCACTTTGACCATCAGACCTTCAGGTAATGGATTTGTCTGAAGTGTTTGTTAATCGAAAGCTAGGAGCACATTCACTGCTTAGGCGCACTGAGGCCCGTATGTACGTAGATATACACGAGATATGACGCATCCCCTCTCAGATCGCCTCCCCTCCCCTACCCGCTGGGGAGGGGAGGGGATCTCAGAGGGGATGCATATCTCGCTACTCTATGTGTCGTTCTTCTTATTTCTCGCTCTTGCTTTTGAAGGTTCTCACACATTTGTACCTGTGCATAATGGATGCCAGGTTACTTCCATACAAGACTGGTTTTTTGCCATCTTGTGTGATCCCTAGGGATCCCTAGGGCATCCCCTAGGGATCAGCTCTCATTTTCAAAGTGATTTGTTTTCCTGAGAAGTCAATGACGCTGCAAAGTTGTACTGAGGATATATTACGGCACTGCTAAGCATGTTTTCGACAAGAGTGGGATCCGAAGATTGCGAATTTCCCTGTAACCCTTAGCTCGCGTGGTTCATCATAAATTTCGATATGTTGAGATTTTACTTATTTCTACTATAAACGTCTTCTCTAGCAGTACCGTAGTATATCCACAGTGCAATTTTACAGCGTTTCATTGAGTTTCTAGGAAAATAAATGGCATTGAAATTGAGAAGGGATCCCCAGGGGACCACACAAAATAGTGAAAATCTAGTCAATTATGCGAGTAATCTGGCATCAGTTATCAGGTATTAGGGTATGACAACCTACATAAGCAAGGAAGGAAGAAGAAAGGTACCTAGGGTAGCGAGATATGACGCATCCCCTCCCAGATCCCCTTCCCTTCCAGCAGGGGATGTACGTGCACACGGGCCTAGTTGAGATGCAGAACGCGAATCTCATGTCCTCGGCATGCAATACACAAGATTGCGTGGTTCACTAGTCTATAGTAAAGATGTTTCTGCAAGTTGGGGAAGGAGCTTCTAGGACATGTATTTCAAAGAAAGCGATATTCTTTTGCTGATTTTGGACAAATTTCGGAAGAGGAATATTTCGGAATGAATTGTCCGCAGCTGCCATTGAAAGCTGCCAAAGATGGAGCAAACGGACAATTGCAATGGCGTGTCCGCGTTCTTATCTACTTTAGCGGGCAACATTCTTCTTACAACAGCGTGGCTAGACGATAGGTAAAAATGAACGGTTGAAGAACATGCATTTCCGGAGGTGGTACAGCCATAACTTTTTCCTGCTTTCTTTTCCATTCTTCTGATGGACCTTCAGGAATAATCGAGGTTTCGTTTCTGACCGTACTGAGAAGAATGCCGGAAACGCTCATCAAAAATGCTCATGTCTCTAAAATTTGAAACTTGTTTAACGCTATGTGGTTCGAAGCCGGAACCTCCATGTAAGGCTCGGCATAGTTCCGCAGAGCAGCTTGTACAAAGTGAGTGGCAAGGAGCTCCTAAATGAAGTGAGTGCTCACTGACCTTAGCTAAGACAATTCCCAACAACTGTTTATTAGCAAGGAGACAAACCGTGTGGCTAGACAAGACCCTGGCTATTCCCGATTAAGGCCCCGGGCAGACTTCACGCGATTTGATCGTCGCGACTGAATCGCGATTAGACAACTGTTACAACATCATTCCATGCCGATCAACTTGCATTTGGTTGTGATACTTTTCCAGCCCGAAATTTTTGAATGTGAAATGAAAATGAATGGAAATCTTGGCGATTAGATCGCGACGATTGAGTCGCGTGAAGTCTGTCCGGGGCCTAAGGTGAATGAACTAACGGCGATACGTTACACGCAAAGACTGGGCGCCATTGCGTCCATCCAAGATAGCTCGTGCTTTGGTGAGATCGCAGATGGTAAGTGAAACGAAAGAGCGCTTTATCAGGAGACGCCGATACGTCCACAGTCTTTGCGTGCAATGAATGGCCTGTACAAAAGTATTCAAGCCAGCGGGAATCCTGTATATCCTCTTGCAGTTTCTCACACCGTTTCATCTTTGTAAGCGATTGTTCTAGCACTTCATGTTGTAAGGAATATTAATAATTATGACATTGCGTAAAGACTGTTAACTTTTAAAACCCCCGCTACAACTGACTCTTTGCGTTATTGGGCGGGAAACCATTGTTAACATGCTTGTTTTCGTCTTTGTACACGAGACAACCGTAGGAAGCTTTCGGAAGCGAACGTTTCAAGCTGTACTTCTTCCATTGGTGCGATGCTGCTGGAAAACTTGTAAAGTAAAAACCATTCTGATCATTAGGGCAGGTACCAAACTGATATTTGCCTTGGGTGGTGGCTATGCTGTGTGAATAGCGCGGATAGTGTATACTAAGCGTTACATCTTTTTTTTCACTCATCTTCTCACATGCATCAGCCAACAGTATTTTTATATCATTCACGTAAGCTCGCGGCTGCGGCAGAAGTTTGCCAAGACTTCGCGCCTCTAGCCGCATTGCGTCATCTACTTCCTCGGCGACGTTGATCGCTTTTGGTTCAAAATTCGAGTTCGCACGCTATTAACAATTTAAATGATGGTACCTACAGCTCGCCTTTTATCGCTAGCGCTTCCTAAAAGCATACCGTTAGAACTTTGCCAGAAAGGCTTTTGAAAGCTCTTAAACCTCGACCAGCGCCCCGAAACTGCGCACAGCTTCTCAGCCGTCCCACTATCACATTCCTATTGATTCCGGATGGGTTATGTGTAGAAGTGAAACAGGTAACTAAGTATGGAAACCCAGTGCTCTTCAATCATAATCTTTGTTGAATTGCCATGCCTTTCCCTTCACAAGAAAGTCCTGCGGACCTATATTGCATTCTACTACTGCAAGTAAAAGTGCCACACCTGTAAGCGGAAGGATGTCTTGTAGATCAAATGTATGGGATTCTATAGATGTCATTCTGCGCATGTAGATTCGATTCTATCCTTCATGACGTCCAAACGTCCATGCAATACGCCAAATTACTATTGCGAGAGCAACTGTACCAAGCGTGTTTTATGAGTGTCCGTCTACCTTTGCTTGCCAATCATCCGGACTACAAGAAATGCAGGAGTCTTTTCACTTATTTGCACAGAAACTGTAGAGGGATCTTTCGCCGCTAAATGGAACGTGTGGGGCAAAAAGGAGATCAAAGCAAGTAGTGTAGTAGTGGCTCATCGTCGTTAAGTTTGAAGCAGAAGCTTTCTCGAATCTATTCAGATGTAAGTAGTTTGCCAATAAAGAGGTGGGACCCTAAAACGAAAGAAATTTTCAAAACTTAAGGGAAACGATAAAAGGGCCAAGCGCACACTAAGGAAATATAGAACGAGTAAGTTTGCCAAGTTTTTATGTCAACATTTTATTGAAGTATGGTTTTTAGGGTATCACCATCGCCCTCGCGAAAGGGATTTGAAACGTCACGAGACAGTGGTTCATGGAGGCATCGTGTGTTTCCGCGCACTCACTGTGTATCTATCTGTGGATCAATGTATTATTGTCGTATAATGACACGCTTTGTTTACCAAAGTGTTATGCATGCACCAGTGGCGGTCCCAGGATTTCCGTCCGGGGGAAGGGGAATTTTTTCAAATGAAGGTGCATGGCGTTAGCCACGCCCTGGAAAATTTTTTTTATAAGTCTAATCTGAATTTTTAAAAATTTTCAAAAATTATTTTAATTGTTTACAAAAATAAACAAGTCACTTGCACATTTTTATAACCTAAGTAAATTTCAAAAATTTCGCGACCCATTCTCGGGGGGGGGGGCGGTCCGCCACTGGCATGCACCCATATGTATCAAATTGCCCATACTTGTAGACATAGCCGAAAGCGTATGAATCGACGTGTGTAAAGAGTGCAGGACCTTTGAAAGTTTCAACGCGCGGAGCGGGTGGAGGAGTGGGGTTCCGACGCAATACAGGCTTATCCGTAGGCGAAAGTGAGCGGCACTTTCTTCAAACGTTTTTAACTCTGAAAAACACTTTTGGCCAAAGTATAATGTGAAATGAAATCAACATGAATGCTGAGCGACAATTTCATGAGCGAATGAGTCTGCTAGTCCTTCGCAACAACCGCACGCCTGTGCTGGTGTTCAAGCATGGCGCGGGCAATTAGGTTTTGTAGGCCTGTAAAAGTTCCTAGACGAGTAATTCACAAAATTAGTAGCCTATACGCATTTTATTTGGGTTTTGAGTTACAAACATTCAACAAGATCAAAATTATTTATCTCTTTTGTAAAGTATGATTGTGAATGACTACGGCTTTTTCCAAACTGGATTTGAGCGATGTAACACCAATATAAAATTATATCACACGAAACGAAAAAAGAGCTCATCAAAGGGACCCACAACAAAAGCTCATGGTTGGAAACACTTTACCTACAGAGCTCCAGAAAACAATATGAAGAAACACATAAGCTCTTGAAGAAATGAGCTCTCACCTTGTTTTAGAAATTTGCTTTTCTGTTATGTTCAACCTAGTAGTGTTACGAAGAAGAAGGCAATGATATGAATTGAAGATCTATACTCACAGCTACTAGAAAAATTAGGCAACAAGATACGGGGCAGATGAGAAAATGCCAACAGTTGAGGCTAGTATAAATACTGTGAAAAGGTAGAGACATAGTCGATCTACCACCATCGCAGCAAATTTCCAGTTATTCGCCGCTTCCTCTTCACGATCGGCTTCCACCATACGTTTTGTTACCACCTGCATATGATCACTATCATTCAGTTTGTAAGGCAAGAAATGGTACCTTGAGTTCGTGGTATATCCGTTGTAGAATCAGCAATGTCGCTTGCTGACCGAGATCGATGGGAGCGGAGATCTGAGTAAACGAGCTTTTTGAGCTTTCTGAGTTCGGCTAATTCTAGAAACTTGGAAACACACTGCTAGACTAGACTAATAAACCTAAAGGTTGACGTAGTGCCGCTACAATAGCCAGAGCGAGGTGCTAGAAATATGGCTAAATTACACACATTTTTGAACTTGCTTCTTATAAAGTGCGGTTCATAATTATACGGACACCTTAAATTTTGAAAGTTTTTGGACTTTTTGGAAGAAACTCGAAAAGCCGTTGGTACCACGCGATAGAGCACAGCTGAAAACGGTATATGATCCATACGAATGGAAATCGATGCCAATCTTAGAAGTGTTTTTGCCCTAATGCGATTTTTTAGCGGTTCATAACTATACGAACACCTCAAACAAAGGTCCATTTTTCATTCAAGATTGCAATCTTTCGAGTCCAAATTTTTTGTAAAGTTACAGTAACAAAGTCTGACACACTGCTATCTGCTACACACTGAACCCAGTGCAGTTCAAAAAGAGGATCTTTACTTTTTTCAGATGGCTCTAAATGCTTTTGAGTGATTGCTCTCTAAAAACATCCGTTCTTCCGTAGTTCACGCACTCTAATTAGCTTCCACCAAAGCTATGAAATAAAATAAGTTTTTTTGACAGGTATTTTGTATGGCGCTTGGAAAATCTTTGCGTTTCCATGCCGTTCTTCAACCAAGTTCCAAATTTACCCTAAAGTTAGCATTTGATTTCAAACCTCTAACTCAGCTTCTAAAGTCCTACAATGAAGTAAACCTATAGTATATAGAAGTTTACAAGACAGTGCATTTAAAGGCACCTCCACCCTAAGTTGAAGGTCTTGAGCTCTTGACAGCATATAATAGTAGGGCCTCCTAACAATCCAATGCCCAAGTCGTGGCTCAAAATGTTGCTTCGGAAGCGAGAAAATCGCTTTGGAATAGATGCAAGATGATGACGGAAGATGCACGAGGTCCCCCATCCATGCCCGCCCTCCCCCATCCATGCGCGCCCATTAGTGCGCGCCCATCCAATCACCGTTCCGGAAAGCCGGCCTATGGGTTCTCCGGGACGAGGATTTTCCGGGTTTTCGCGCATTCTCGACTTCATATTCGGAATCAGGGACATGAGAAGGCCCTGTAACGGCAAAAACGTGGAAGTCGAAAATTTGGGTGGACGGTGCCTTTAACTAAAAAAATCAGCAGCATTGAGCGTTTGTTTCGGCCACGCAGACGTCATTTCACCAAAACCACTGTTTTTACTATTGCAATCACACATTTATTTAGTTTGTAGCTCCATAACCTCAAGATCAGTTCTACAAAAAACCCAAAAACTTTGACATGGATACATCATCATGCAAACAATGCAGCTGCTTCATATCAAGTGTTTGCGAGAGAGAAAAGCTGAGTTTTGCTCAAAATCGTGCGAACTTTAGGGTAAGGTTGGAACTTGGCTGAAAACGGCACGAAAACGCACAGATTTTCCAAGCGTCAAACAAAATACCTATAGAATGAGCTTATTCTATGTCTTAGCCTTGGCAGAAGCTAATTAGAGTGCGCGAACTACAGAAGAACGGATGTTTTTCGGCGCAATCACTCCCAAAGCATTTAGAACCATCGGAAAAAAGTAAAGATTCTCTTTTGTGCACTGGATTCAGTGTGTAGCAGATATGTCAGACTTTCTTCCTGTAACTTTGCAAAAAATTTGGACTCGAAAGATTGCATTCCTGAATGAAAAATGGACCTTTGTTCGAGGTGTTCGTATAATTATGAACCGCTAAAAATTCGCATTAGGCGCAAAAACACTTCTAAGGCTTTGGCCATACTTTGTTCTTGTTACCGGTGTTGCCAGTGCTGCCAGTGTTGAAAGTATTGCCGGTGTTGAAAGTGTTGAAAGTGTTGAAAGTGTTACCGGTGTTGAAAGTGTTGAAAGTGTTGCCGGTGTTGAAAGTGTTGAAAGTGTTGAAAGTGTTGAAAGTGGGAATCATCAGTCTTGCAGTTTCATTCTTCCTCGAACGATCTCACCGGCTGGTGAGTACGTCTGGGATGGAAATGGGAAATGAGAAATGAGACTGAAATGAAATAGGAAATGCTTTCGCAAAAGCTCCTCGAACGTACTTTTTGGAAAGTGAAGGACTTGTTCTGAATAGGAAATCTCCAACACTTGAGATGTAAGGTCTAATGAGAATGCGTGTTAGGTGTCGAATCCGGCGCTTCTGCGATTAGTGAGCAAAAGATCTCTGGGAGGTCTCGCAGCGTTCTCAAATGTTGGAGATTGCTTCTTCTAAACAAGACCTTCACTTTCTAAAAAATTTGTTCGAGGAGCTTTTGCGAAAGCATTTCCCCATTTCCATCCCAGACGTAGTACTCACCAGCCGGTGAGATCGTTCGAGGAAGAATGAAACTGCAAGACTGATGATTCCCACTTTCAACACTTTCAACACTTTCTAACATCGGCAACACTTTCAACACTTTCAACATCGGCAACACTTTCAACACTTTCAACACTGGTAACACTTTCAACACTTTCAACACTTTCAACGCCGGCAACACTTTCAACACTGGCAACACTGGCAACACCGGTAATACGGGCAAAGTATGGCCAAAGCCTAAGATTGATATCGATTTCCATTCGTATGGATCATATACCGTTTTCGGCTGTGCTCTATCGCTTCCAAAAAGTTCATAAACTTTCAAAATTTAAGGTATTCGTATAATTATGAACCGCACTTTATTAGCGCGAGATAGGCGGCTCAAACTTATTGTTTTGTATCATGCAGCTTGCGAAGTCCTGAGGAGATTGAAGCTTTTCAACGTGCAAATGCTTTACCAACTCTTCACCCCTCCACTTTTTAAATTCGACTGGCACCAAAAAATGATTAGCTTCAAAGGATTTTCATAGCATCTAATTCTAAAAGAGTATTAAAATCTTATTCCGTTTGCTTGTCAAGTTTAATCTCTTCAAAAACGCCGAGTTGCTGTAGGATGTCATGGTCATAACTATGACTGCATGCGGGCTTTGTCGCTGAGAGAAAAGAAGTTGGAAAGACTTTACCATTAGATCATAAGCTCCCAACTTCTTCTAAGACACTCTCTCCTAATCTAATATAATGGCTTCACACTTGTACGATGGTGTGCCAAGCGATTCCACTTTTATAGTTCACTTCTTTAAAATTTATGCGAATCATCGTTTCTTCCGCTTTTCGCTGCCTTTCATCTTCCTTCCCACGTTTTTCTCACTTTCATCCAATCACTGTTTTTTGAGATAGATTTAAGACGATTTCTTTATGGACAGCAAAACGTTTGAGTTTTTTACCAAGTCAACGGGCATTTTTTGGAAACGCTTAGGTGTTACTTGCTACCATCTCATGCCGTTTTCGCTGATGACCTTGCTCGTTGTCACAACTCAAAGAAAAAACAAAAAATCACTTGTGAACTTTGCATTGCTGCCAATGGAGGAGAGACGCCATTCATCTGCCCAGAGGATGACATGTAAAAGTGGAGACGTCGTTCAATTTCCAAAGAATTTGATCTGCAATAATCGTGATTGAAACTTTTTTTTCGACTATGGTCTCACCTGGAAGTATTGGACTCCGTTTCTTTGATATTCCTAATGAGTGATTCAGAATGACATTTCAATTTATGACTGAAAAGTGAAGGAAGTAAGGCATATGTGAGCTTCACTCCTGGCCGTTTCATTCGCAACATCCATGGCAGCCAGTACAACATTATCGAGCGCATCTAAAGGGAATGTACAACAGGATTGGCCTTCATAAAGATTACCTACAAAAGCGCTCATTTCATGTGTTTCAGCTGTTCTATGGTGAAGATTGAGCACATACACCGTGAATACTGTCGAGGCAGTGACAACAATCATACAACAACTGAAGAAAACTCCTGAAAGGTTTGGTTTACGGAATTTTCTCTGCACTATAGCTCTAAAATTCTGCACCTAGAAGAGGGACTGCCTCCGAAGTTGGCGGTGACATGTCCGAGACGATGCCGAGAAAGAAGCAAATCGACAGGAGCACAGTGATTTCTACAATGTTACAAAGCTTATTGGTTGCGCAAACCATTTGAGAAGTACTTTTCGAACAACAAACTCACGCAAGGTAATTTTTTCACCAGCATCTGGGGGCAAGGTAAAACCCAATAGAGTCATCAATGTTGTTAAAATGCACGGCATAATGAGATTGAACCCTGTCAGTAGCATCGCTCAATAAGCATTGCGTAGTTACCTGATCAGCATACCGTAGTAAAGTGTGCGCCTCCTCATATGAAGGTAAAATGTAAGATCTGGATACGGCTCAGGACAACATTCGTAAAACTTTTCGTTTCTCGACACAGTAGTCACTGAAATATCGATTCAAGGCTCTTGTATGAAGCATTCAAATAAAACATTAGTGAGCGTACGTGGTAGTGCCCACTCTCCGTTGGGCAAATACTCTGATACATCGACACCCTTTTCGGCTGGTTGCAGATCAAGCTTATATCCATCGTAAGTCCAGGAACCAAACTGAATTAAATGTCACTTCGAATGGTGTAGCCAATGATTGCGCAAAAAGTTGGAATTACCTTGAATTTGCACTGTTGCTCGTCAAAGGGAAACCACTCTATATTGATTTTGCAGGAGATTTTGAATATTCCAGGCGGTACCCAGTGTACTTTGCCATCATTGTAAACAATCATATTTGTTGGATAAGTAGAATCGAAGTTAGGATCCACACTGTAAGAAAGATTGTCAGTCATTCCTCTGACTCAGAAGACATTTTACCTATTGTACAGTAACACATCAGGCTTCCAAATTTTTCCAGCAGGAAATCGAACATCTGTTATGTTGCCGTACTCGCTGATGTCCCAGGTAAGTTTGTAATCGGACCATTCCTGTAAAGGTTTTCGCAATATACAACACCGCTCATAATTCGTCAATAAAGTCGCCGGAGTGCGGCGAAATGCGCCGCACATTACTGTCGGAATCCGCGTCGCATCGTCATATCTCGCTTCAGAATGGACGAATTCTGAATTCAAGGACACCGTTCGATTTAGCTCGGAGAGACGCATCATCTAGTGCATAGAAGTGCCACAATGTACATGTACGATAAGTACACGGTGGAAAATAAGTTTTCGCTCAATTTCGCAGATTTTTATTTGGGATTGTTCAGTGTGCTGATAATAATATTGCCATTAATCTCGCTGATGACGCACAGTAGATACACTGTAGGAGTGTAATAATAAGTCACTCCGATCGAATTTGCTCTAAAATCAGCTTTCAAGCTACAATACCGCTCACGATCCTACCTGCTGATTACGAAAATCACATTTGCTTGGCAAGATAGCTTCATATTTTAAAGTTATGGTGAGTAAAATTTGGAACGCCATGATTTTTTCAGAATTCACTAGCCCTTCTATCTCCTTTGGAGAGATGCCTGTGACTACTTTTTAGCGCTCCATAATCTATACAGGAACTAGGAGCAATGCGCGCTGCCTTACACTTTTGCGAAAAGACGTCCGCAGAAGGATTCAAAATGCTGAAATCGGAATATCAAAGACATGCTGTTTATTGAAAGATTTGGCTTGATGAGCTGGGCACAACACTCTCTTGAAGTTACGACGGTAGAATTCGGAAACGCGTGATTATTTTTCCAGATTGCACCGGCGCTTCTATCTCTTTTGGAAGGCAGTCTGCGTCTACTTTTTAGCGCACGATGACCTACAAGAACGGTACTATCGAATAGTACTTACTGGAATCTACGGATATTCGGTTATACGGATGCTGCGTTACATCCTTGCGAAAGAATCTCCACAGAAGAATTTAACAAAACTGGAAACGGAATATCGGGGGCATGTTGTAAATCAGAAGATTTGCCTTGACGAGCTGAATATAATGCCGCTTCCGGATTCAAAATGTATTCATTCCGAAGGACGTTATGGAGCTGCGTATTCTGCGTGATTCCCGTGATTCGGCGGATCCTGGAATGTCGCGAAATTCCTGAAATATCACAGACTTTAGCGGATTTCCGGAAATTCCGCGAGGTTCACGGGAATTTTGCACGACTGTGAGCGGTATCGTTCCTTGAGAGCTGATTTTAGAGCAAATTCGATCAGTTACTCATTACCATACTCCTGTACATCTACTATGTGTCATCAGAGAGAAATCAGTAGCAATATTGTTATCAGCACATTGAACAATTCAACAAAACAAAAATCTGGGAAATTGAGCGAAAACTTATTTTCTACCGTATACCTATGTACCCCTGTAGATTGTGGCACTTCTATGTACTGGCTGACGCGTCTCGCCGAGCTGAATCGAACGGTGTTCTCGGATTCAGAATTCATCCATTCTGAAGCGAGATATGGCGATGCGACGCGGATTCCAACAGACTCTAGTGATGTGCGGTGCACTCCGTTGCGCTCCGGCGGACTCTAGTGGAGTGCGACGCATTTTGCCGCACTCCGGCGCACTGCCGCACTCCGGCGACTTTTTGATGGATTATGAGCGGTATTGTATATTGATTTTATTACATATATATTATACATATACTATCCGTAATCTCTGTCGGTAAATAGTGCAACTTGTGCGTTTTTCACGCTATATTACGCATCATCTTGGGGCGCTTAGCAATCGTTTGTCGGAAAACTAATGAGGCATATGTACGAATTGTAATTACTGATGTTGATTAATGAGGAATTTTGCTGCTTACAAGGGAACCGTGTTTAATCGAAGTGGCCTTTTTAGACGGGATGCATATCATAAGGAGCATAAAACGTTGATTTCAAATCTGCTTTTTTTATCTGCGGAACGTTTATGGACAGGGAGTTACGAGCTTTTATTGAAGCAAAAAATCACATATATAAATAGGTTAAAAATTGTCGTAATATTCTTTCCAGCGCTCTAATGAAGTAGTGATGATCATAGCAACTTATTCAATGAATGCTCTCAGATGAAAAATATAGCATAGATTGCTTTTTTCAAAGGCTGGTAAGATTTTAGGAACTTTTACCTTAAATTCACGTTTGCTCCAATACACGCTCGTAGCTCCTCGCCCATAAATGTTCCGCAGGTAAAGAAAGGAAACTTAGACTCGGTGTTTTATGCTCCTCAATATGGTACGCATCCCATCTAGAAAGGCCAGTTCGACTAAGCGCGGTTCCTCTGTTAGATCGCTCATATAAAAAAAGTTCTTTAAAAATTAGTAAGTGTCTTAGTAGCATAAATAATCAGTCCATCATTCAGCAGAGGATAACTGCATGCAAGCCCTATATACTGATTGCGTGCAAACGCAAAAATTTATATCAAGGTGAATCAAGATACACTCGGAAGAACTGGATAACATCGAAACTAAACAGAATTTTTCAGTACTTATCACCGAAGAAGAAAATGTTACACATCTACCTTAAGGTCTAGACTATGATTATCCGTGATAACCCGTAAACTTATTTTGCGCAGCACAGTCAAAGGTGTGCTGCCAATAGAACTGAGTTGATAAAAAGATCTGCTGTTTTGCATTATGATTTGTTTGTTGTAAATAAGAAGGTTATATAGCAGCCTAGTTCGCAGAGACGTTTTCTTATCGCTGGAAAACAGATAAAGGGTCTCCACTGACGCTGTTCACGAACACAATATATTCGTCAATCTAAAGGGCCGAGCATACATAACGCAGTGCATCGCCTCGCGACTCTTCCAATAAAACAGATACAATTCGTTGCATACCGATCAGCCTCTATCTCAGCTGTGATGGTTTTACGAAACGACCAATCACGGCTAACTATCACAACTATCCATTTCGGTTGTGATAGTTATGGATGATGATCGTCATGCAATGATGTTGCAACGTCTTGTTGGGGAGAATTGAGAGACTATGAAATCGCGTGATGCATGCCCGGCCCTTGAAGGCAGTGTCCCGGCAGATTTGCGCCCTAGGGGATAATCCCATTTTGAGGTTCCTGGTCATCTCACTGACCCCCAGACGCAGTCCGGCTGGTTGACGTTCTCCCTGCCGAGAGAGTAGCCCTTGAACCGGCGCACGCTCGGACGACTTCGCTTGTTCAGCGCGGGACCCCATAACCGCTTTCCCGCATTATGCATGCTATCCAAAGCAGAAATTACAGGCAGCAGGGACTTCGTGCCCTCCCAACTTTCCATTGAAATTCTCGTCCGAGCTGCCTTTTGGAAATTAGGTAAACGTCTTGAAAAAGGTTTTTCCACCCGTTTTGAAGCTTAAATTTGGGATCATGGGTCGATAAGACTCAAAACATGCAAAAAGATTGAGATGCAAAATCTGTCGGGACACTGCCTTCAAGGATACCAGAATTTGAGGACGACCTTTAGCTCAGGCCATGTGAACCATTATTCCGTTATTGAGGACCCGATCTTTTATGTGTGAACGATTAGGATAGCAGCACATTGTAACTTACTATTGGACTCGCAACATTTTCCCTAGAAATCGTGACTGGGAAGATAATTTTATCGGAGTGGCGCACATCAATAGTAATACCAATGAGCACGAAGAATAAGCGGTGGTTATGCTGAGAGTGATAACGCAATGTTTTTGCTTCCGTTAGGGTAAATATAGCGTTTCGGCTTCAGGTCCAGTATTGATAGGTAAAAAGTCAGCAGCAGCAATTCATCAATGAAGATTTCAAACTTACGTAATCCAACCATGCATTTACGTAAACGACTTGATTCTTCTCATCAACGTCGATAATTTGTTGTAGAGAGACCTAAAACTGTAAAGTATTGATATCTGGTCAAGCTATTTGGTAACCGCGCCATTGCTCTTGTCTTGATCAAATCGCTGATCCGTGTATAGTGTACAACCCCACTGTAAAAGGCAGTCAAAGGCAGTTCATTGTTCCGTGGGTTGCAAACTGTTTCTGAGCATTCCGTCTGCTTAAGCCCCCGCCCCCCCCCCCCCTCGGCCACCCCTATGTAGCTCTCACTAGCGATTTCGATTAGCGCGTAACAGAACATTGTAGGGGGCAGAAACAAAAGCCTGCATAATTACTGGCTGTTGAACTACGCAAGACTACGCAGACTACTTCTTATTTGGATAAGATCTCCGTATTTTGGTTTTAACAACGAGTTTTAGGTACATTTCCTGTGTCAACCATCACTCGAAGAAACAGCTGCTCCACGACTACTTTTTCACGCCGAAATTGATGAATTATCATGCCAATATCCAACGACAGTTACAAATGTCAAGCACCTTGCACTAACCTTGAGGTAAACGGTGACCGGCTTCGAATGATTTGCTACAGGACGTTCCAAATTGTTGTAGTCGCGCATGAGATCCTCGTACAGTTTTCGTTCATGATACGATGCTGTTGTGAAGTGTAGCGAGGAAAGCGTCAGAAGTGAACAGGAGATGAGCAGCGAACGCATCACATCCCATACTCTCTAATGCCCAATTCCTTAAGATCAAGTGTAAACTTTAATGAGCTGACTGATGCTACGAAAGAAGTGTAAAACGGCTGCGAGTGTGAAAAAGCTAAGAAAAAAGTATGATCAAAGGAATGGGAGGACAATAACAGCTGTAGTTTGACTGCACTAATTTGATGTTCGTGAAAAAGGTTTCATAGTAAACGGAGTGTATTAAATTTTTGAGAGGAGGGTTCTTCTCATAAGTCTTGAGGCATCTTCTTTATTTAGATTAGTTTATCAAGGTTTCCTGAGATGCGTGGCGTAAGGTGTATCTCTTGAGGAAGCGCTTAGAGGAAGGATTGTTTCCTGGAAAACGAGAACAGTAAAATTCATCAAGGAAGAGCAACGAGTGCATATTTTTGTGTATACCGTTGCTATGAGAACTCTACTATCTCTAAAGTAAATTACTATAAATGAAGTGAATCGATTTGCTAAATCAATTATCTATCCACCACCACCACCACGGTGAAGTCATGGTTCAGAAATGCCGTTAGGTTGATGCATAATTCCTGCACCAAAGTAGGTACAGACCGCAATAACTGGAATAATCTCATAATCCAAATAGGATTCGATATATTATTAGATAGAGCAAACCTAGCTCTACAAGATATTGCTCAAATATCTGCACCAGCTTTGATCTACGCGAAGTTTTGAGCCGAAAACTAAAAAAAACCTTAAGACCAATCAAAACAAAAATGTAACTTCGTTCAAAAAGTTCCTATACAAAATTTCTTTCCTGCTCACGCGTAGACATTCCACGTAAGGTATTTATCTATGCGGTTGCTGTATTTTTTTCTTAGCTAGACGATGAGAAAATGAAGTTTTTTATGTTTTTGACAAACTTAGATGTTCTAGCACTAATAGTTGTATAGTACATTCCGTTAACAGTGAAACTTTACATTTGCAGCCTTGTAGAACTGCTACAGTGCTGGCCATAGCTATAAAGCCACCCTAAAAATCACCGTAATTTGCTCTTTTTTGCTCATAATTGTCTGAAAAACCACTATTTTGTGCGCAAACTAACGTCATACCATTGACCAAAACGGCTCCCAATTTTATGGATTTTGGCCGGTGAAAACTTTAGAAATTTGAAAAAACGGGTTCCGAAGGCTGGTCACAGCTATAAAGCCACCTCTCATTTTCAATCAGTACTACGTTTTTTAAATCTCAAATTTTTTGTACATATACAACATCAAAATATGAAACATTTTTATACTTGAAAGGAGTCGCCTTTCAAAAAGAAGATTCGTACTGCATTTTTTGCTAAAAATTGGATGATAACTCAAATTATTTGCAAAAAACTGCTTTTTCACTAAATTTTGAAGCACTTGTTTGACTCGGATGAACGTCCTAGGATTTGCTTAGCCTTTGCACTGAACGAGGTGAAAAGTGCTGAACTTAACATTGCGTAGTCGCTAATCTTGGTAAACGAGCCTCATCTTACCGAGGTGTAAGCGCGCTTCTGAGGCGCAAAACTAGGTTTCTGACACGCGAAAACTTTTGATTGGAAGTTGACACCTTGTCTGCATGGCGACGTACTCATGCAGAAGCCGCCAGGTTTTTTTTTTTTTGCAAAGACCTATTTGCCGCAATGAAGTTAGAACGCTTTGTCTGCAGTTCGGTTGTGCGCGGTGTATTTCACAAGACTTCAAATTTCACTGATTTGAACTCCTCATCAATTCAAATCTTACTAAACTGTCAGAAATAGAAGGATTTTGAACTTCTGAGCGGTTTTCCGCTCGATCGAGGTGGTTAGAGTGGATCATGATCAGACGGAGTGCACCACTCATTTTTGGAAAAAAGGCGTCCAAAGCGGAACCAGAGTCCTCAGAGTTGCGATGACGTACAGGCTATGCACACGAGTCTGTCGTTATACAAGCGACGTGCTGAGCACGCGACAGAGCTTTTCGGGCATTAGAACTTAATTTCTGCGGTTCGAAAACTCGTCTACCTGGAGGTGAGGTTGGGGCTTGTTAATCAATATCAGCGACTACGCAATGTTAACTCAAGCGCTTTTCGCCGTATTCATTGCAAAGGCTCGGCAAAGCATAGGGCCTTCATCCGAGTCAAACAAGTGCTTCAAAATTCAGTGAAAAAGCAGTTTTTTGCAAATGATGTGGCCTATTATGCATTTTAGAGCAAAAAATCCAGTACGAATCTTCTTTTTGAAAGGCGACCCCTTCCAAGTGTAACAAATGTTAAATGTTTTGATGTTCTATATGTACAAAAAATTTGAGGTTCAAAAAACGCAGTACTGATTGAAAATGAGAGGTGGCATTATAGCTGTGACCAGCCTTCGAAACCCGTTTTTTCAAATTTTCAATTTTTCTCCGGCCAAAATCCATGAAATTGGGAGCCGTTTTGGTCAATGGTATGACGTTAGTTTGCGCACAAGATAGTGGTTTTTCAGACAATTATGAGCAAGAGAGAGCAAATTACGGTGATTTTTAGGGTGGCTTTATAGCTATGGCCAGCACTGTAGTTCACAAGAAATGACGGATCTAGCTCTCCTTATTCGAATTTTTCTTGCCTAGTTGCTAAAAATTCGATATTTCTCGTAAACCAGCTGCTGTAAAGAGCTGAAAATTCACACTCATGCCTCTAAGGTCCAGTGTATAAATGTCAGTGCTAAAACATCTCAGCATTGTTTTGGAAAAAAAAACATGAAAACTTCATTTTCTCAATTTCTAGCTGAGACAAAAATATAGCAACTGCATAGAGAAATCTCTTATACGAAATGACAATGCAGGAGCTGTTAGGAGATTTTGAAGGATTTTTCTGAACGGACTTCCAATTTTTTCTTGGTTTTTTGGGGCGCTTGGATCTTTTTCGTTTTTGGCTTCAATCTTCGCTTGGATCATAGCTGCTGCAAATCTTAAGCACTGTTTTGTAGAGCTAGTTTGCTCTATCTAACGATAGATCGAATCCCATTTGGAATATAGGATTATTTCGGATTATTGCGGTCTGTACCTATTTTGGTGCAGGAATTGTGCATCAACCTAATAGAATGGGTATAATTCTCATTTTGATCTGAGATTATTATTATTATTCCAAGTGCTAAGAGGGAGAACTTAAAAATTGGATGACGTGAAGAACATCATTAGTGGGCGCCGCTCGGTTAACATTGAATTCTCATAGTAGTTTAAACGGTAAATAAATTGCGGCCAACACCGAGCAGACTTATTAGGCTAAAATGTTCTCCCATATATACATGAGAGAAGATCAAGTCCAATCTATGCCAAGGACTATCGCAGTACTGTATGAGTACAAGAAGGAGAAACCAGAGTTGGAGAGTGGTGAAGGGTCGTAGTTACAAAATGAGCAAGTTTTGCTGCATGAAATAAATATAGCGGAACCCGGGTTGCAGCTGTTCAATAAAGCCTGATTTTTTGCTGCTTAGTTAGATCCCATCAAAAATTGCAAAACAGCTTATATTCAGGTTGGAATTTGTTAATGACTAATTGCTTGCTGGAGCACTGCTGGTGGTCTGATCTTTTTGTTCCGCAGACGATGATCAGTCATCATGAAAGCAAAGGCGAGGAAATCTTAGATCTAAATAAATGATTGGCCGAGTTATAATTGCGGCGCTGCAATTTGTCTACGACTTAACCAAGCCAGAAAAAAATGTCCAGCCGTTATGGAATAGGGAGATTTTTTTCCGGTGAATGTACCAGTGCTGTGTGAGCCTATATTCTTAGCCTTCAGGAAGTTAAAGTAAAAAAAAGTTTAAAAAGTAGCGCAAGAGCTGTCACAGAGAAATGGAGACTGACATCTTTGTTTGGAGAAATGCAAGCAATCACAACTACCAGGCTAAGCGGAATGAATTTTTTAGATGAACTTGGAGCACTGGAGTGGATGTCGTGGGAATCCGTGACTATAGTTTGCAGTGGAAGGAGGGGGGGGGGGGAGAAGGAAGAAGGAAGCTCGATTCTTTAAGGATCCCGAAGCCCCTACTAGATAAATTTTTTTCAATTGAAAAATATGTTATATACTTTGATGAACGAAGGGTGGATAAGCACATAATAGCTCAAACTATGTAGAAAAATCCTTCGCTCACTCTCAGAAATTTCTCGAACCCCACGCTTTGATTAGAACGAACCAGAATAAAGGAAACTATTACAAATAAAATCAAACAAACAGCAACAAAGGCTTAACAAAATTTTCGAAAGCACAAGTCGATAGAAGACAGATGATATCCCTTCACTGCAAAGTCAGCGGTTTTACATTCTGTAGAAAAAATTGTGAACTCCTCCGCTTACATTCCTTTCCTCTATCTCTATAAAACTAAGAATGCAACTTTATCAAGCTAATGGATTTTTTTTAAAAGCAAAGTTCGCGAAGAAGGTGGAAGTTGATAAACAACTCTTATAATATTTCTTAGGAGTGATTTCTTTATGAGTCTTATTTTAGAATTTGAAAAACAGTCTCTTCTGCAAATAATCTCTAGGAGGAATTTGAATATAAAGGGCAAATAGTAAAACTCACAGAAGACCCCTAAAACTGAAACACGCAGTAAACTTTCGGACTAAGAGACAACCAACTGCCTAAATTTATGGCTTTACTCAAGAGGTACTCGAGTATGATACAGAGGAACCCAGAACTATTAAGGGGCGGAATTTGGTATTTTACCCGCATAATCACTCCAATTTTAGTCACAAAAATTACGGCTAGCATATAAATGAAGGTCTGATGTGTTTGATAATGCATGAGCAAGTATGAGTTCCGTAGAATTTTTGAGGAGTGGATCAGATTTCTGACGCAATCACGTACTTGTACATTTCTGCTCCGAACATCACGCTGATCAAACTCCATGCGCTGTTCAGAGGGCCACTCTAATATAGTGATAACATTTGGTTCTAGTTAGACCTTCTTTGTTCCTGCTCAAGGAAATGTCCTTACCCTTGAAAGGCACCGTCCACACGATTCTCCATGTTTTGGCTTTCCGGGGCCTTCTCAAGTCTCTGATTTCGATTATGAAGTCGAAAATTTGCAAAA